CCCCAAAACCCCAAAACCCCAAAACCCCAAAACCCCAATTAAAATTATTTTATTGATTGAAGATATTTATCACAAACTTTCCAAATTTTAGCCGTTAGCTTTTCTATACTTTCTGCTTGCTCAAGACTCTAGCGAAATTATGCTCAAAGTCATCCTTCAATTGAGGATTGTCAAGTTCTTTATTAGTCTTTTTGATATTTACAATTCTGAGTCCTTTTGCGAGGCTTGCAACTTTCACTTTTGTTTCTTCATTTTTGATGCCATTCGGATCTAATATAGGAGCAAGACCAAATGGCATAACACCAGTAGTACCTCTAAAAGCATGCAAGCTTTTGTCTCCGTAGTAATAATAGTTATAGATAGTTCCTCTGACAACAGAGAGCACTTTTGATAGTTGTTCATTATCTCCTCATCCAGCTGCACCTTCGATAAAGTAAACATTATACACAATATTATGAGCTTTCCTCGCACATAGCTCTTCAAGACAACTATATAAAACTTGGGCTCCAAGAGAGAACCCAAACAATGAAACTGATTGGTTAACAAAAGGAAATTGGAGGATTAAACAATTTGCCAATAATTTTCCATAAAATTTAGCCATTTCAGCACAAGCAAGGAATCTATTCTTAAAGTCTACTGGCACTTTGACTACTTTGTAAGCTAGCTCGATTTTGCTCAAAAGAGATGTGATATCCAACAGAGAGAACAAGCTTGGTACATAGTCTGACATGCTAGGTATCATTCCTTTTGTTTTCCATCTGTATGCATACACAGTTAAGGATTTGTTAGATTTTAGATACTTCTGCCATTGTTTTGTCAAGTCGTTGGTTTCTCCTCTTAAGCCTCCAATAGAGATAAGAACATGCTTATTTCATGGAGATTCGGATGATAAAAGCTCAAATTTAGGGTTTAAGGTTTCACTATCTTTACATTGGCCTAAAACTTTGTTAAATGCTATCAGTGCCTTAGTCTTATCTCTAAAGTTTTTATTGATTATATCTTGTTTTTCTTCCTCTGATTTTAATCCGAAAGTATCTCTAGGAGGAGCTTGGAGAAGATACTCATCAAGATCATCATCGTTTTCCTCAACTAGATTAACAAAACTCTTGGCAATAAGCCTATTCTTAACATCATGATCTCTATGAATAATGTTTGGAATTGCTGTGAGTGGGTCTTGATATTCAAACTGTAAAATTTGATGATTAAAATTCCCCATTGCCTTTTCAATAGTTCTTATAATTTTTCTACTCATCACTCCAGGAAAGAACGCTTTGATAAAGTTTCTGAAAAATAATACATGAGATGCATTATAGTAACCCTTGCAAAACTGCCCTTTGGCATTAACATTCTGGGTGCAATACATTGCTATATGAGTGATAATATACTTTAATTGGTAGGAATCTTGATCATCACCGAGATCAAACTCTTTTGCCTTCATAAAAATAGGATTATCCTCTTCAGAATGAAAACTTTCAATAGTGTTTATATTATTCTCAAGGATCTTCTCATAATTATTTTGCTCCATTTCTCTCCACTGTGTGTGCTTAGATATCCAGGTAATCATCTCAGAATAGAAATTCTTAAGCTCTTTTACTTCTCTATTGTTGACTAATCTCTGACAAAATAAGAAGATTGAGAGGATCTTATCAATGAGCTTTTCTTTTTCAGATAAAATGGTCTGATCCCAGAACTCTAGTTCTTCTTTATAAATAGTCTCTGAGATATTGTAAATAGCTTCATACCATTGATCTTGGATATCCTCATAATCGTCTTTCTCCTCAATTACTTCTGTGAAATCTAAGAATATTTTATCTCTATTATGAAGGGCTAGCTCTAACCCAGATCTTGCATATTCAATTATGAACTCTGGTATATTTACAACTTCTTTCCTCAGATTTCCTGCCAATTTTGGGTGATGCTCTTTGAGAAGTTTGATATTTATCTCCTCTACATTTGCTTCATTCTCATCCATGAAATATAAAATTTCCTCTCTATCTTTATTAAGTAGGTCAATCTGAAGCTTAATGTATCTCTCTAAGACTGTGCATACTTTGTTGTACATTTCATGATGTTTGTCATGCATCTCTCTCATCGCAATTTCTCTTCTAAAAACTCCTAGGTTTCTTTTAACAGCATCTGGAGTGAAGGTATCTTCATTGACAAAATTTCCCTTTAGAATTTCATTTGGATCTCTTTTGGTCTCTTCTCAAGAGAAGAACAAATCTACTTCCTTGTCTATCAATTGGTCAGTCTCGGTGACCAGATCGTTTAAACTATCGAAATATCTAAAGTTTATAAGAAATTTACTTTTTCAGTTCAGATGACTTGAGCTTTTCATCAAAGAAAGCCTGGATTACTAATAGCATTGTAAACTCAATGTCTTCTTGCCCAGGAGATTTAGTCTCCTCTAGTTCTCTGTATCCTTCTTTGGATTCCATTTGTAATTAAATTCTACAGCAAAAAACTATTATTAGAGTTAACTTATTGGGGTTTTGGGGTTTTGGGGTTTTGGGGTTTTGGGG